TGATCATTTTTTTCACGAATAAGTTTTTTTTATATTTTTATTAGGTGCGCCTTGATGAGAAGAACACATATCTAAAATTTCAAGTGATTTGGATTTGTAAAAAAATAAATAAAATTCAAGCATTACCGGACATCCGTGATCTTCAGATCGAATTTGGGCCGTTGGGCTCATATGTTTATATGAGCTAGTGGGCTAGTGCCAGATTTTTCCTATATATATATATATATATATATATATATATATATGCCTCGCTTTCTTCGATTATCTATCCATACTTCTTTGTCTCTCTTCATTTGATTATCCTTAATTAATCGAGAACTTCATGAGATGTCTTGAATTAATTGACTACTTTTAAATATTTGTTCTGAATTCCCAAGCGGACTGACCACTTAATGAATATGATATAACTAAAGTTTCATATATGTGATCTGCAGATTGCTGTGAGTGTCTTCTAAACTTACATGATGCTCCATGTGTATTTCCAGTTCTAGAATCTATTTAAGGCTTGATTAACCATATCGGATTTCCTGAAGCTTATCAATTTCCCTAATATTGACATTTAGCTAGATTATAGTTAGAAGTATAATGAAAAATAAAACCCAAAATGAACAAATTAAATTTTTATATCAGTATTTTGCTGTAAATATATGGATATTTTATGAGTGCATATTAAGTATGGTGTCCAGCGAAATATATATGTGTATCACATGAAGAAAACTAGGGTAGACCCAGTTAGCTAGATCACACTTAAGAAGTATAATGAAAAATAACACCTAAAATTGACAGAATAAATTTTTTTATCAGTAGTTTGCTGTAAATATATGGATATTTATGAGTGCATATTAAGTATGGTGTCCAGTGAAATATATATGTGTATCACATGATGTAAACTAGGCTAGACCCAGAGTAAAATTATTGGAATTCCTTAGCCAAATTTGTTTGAAATTTTTTTGACAATGAATGCCCTCCAGCATTGTGTTCCAAAATATTTTTAGGTTGGGGAATTTTCCATTATTTGCCAAATGCAATGATAAAAATACTTTATGAAACATTTTTTTTATTTCTATGGGTGTAGGTTTTTTGAAAGATATGGTGTGCATTCCAATGGCTAATTGTCTACCATTTATTTGTATGATTCTTTCACTGCTGCCGTACTAAATTACAGAAAGTTACAGGAGCAAAAGATGTTTCACTACAGATGTCTATGGGCATTATTTAGCGAAAAATGTGTAGCAAGCATAAATGTTTCTTATGGGAGTGGTACAAGATAGAAATCCTCTATAGGTATGTAATGGTTGCTTTTCTTTTTCTTTAATGTAACGATGTTTTTGTCATATTTCTCAGCACTGTATTGCCTTGGAAGAACTATATTTGAGCCATAATGGTATTCAGAAAATGGAAGGCCTATCGACCCTTGAAAATCTCAGGGTTTTGGATGTTTCATCAAATAAGCTTACGGCTGTGAATGATATCGAGAACCTGACAAAGTGAGAATCACTTTTTTCTTGTTTCCCTATGTAATGTTGGAGTGAGAATCGCTTTTTTTCTTTTTTCCCTATGAAACATTGGGTTGTGTTCTTATTTTCTTTTAATTCCTTTTTGAAGATTTGCATGCCTTTGTGTTCATGTAATAGCAATACTGTGCTCTGCAGATTGGAGGACCTATGGCTTAATGACAACAAAATAGCTTCATTAGAAGGGATTGGTAAAGCAGTTGCTGGTTCCACAGAGACGCTGACTACAATTTACCTTGAGCACAACCCATGTGTATGGTTCTTTGCCTTTCTCACTTTCTTATCTGGAAAGTTTCAGACTTCAAATGAGCTCAGTACAATAGCTCACTCACAAACATGGAGGGAGGGAGGGAGAGCTCTCGAAGATCTTTTCGTGTGTGTGTGTGTGTCTGAGAGAGAGAGAGAGAGAGAGAGAGAGGTAGTCGTCGTAGTGTAGTTTCGTTTAGGTATTACTTAACCTTAACCTAGTTAACGTAAACGTAACGGTACCGGACGGTCGTACGGTACTCTCGT